TATAAGACGCACCCAATTTTAAAGGAGGCAAATTCAGAAAAAAAAAGATTATGAACCAAATTCTGTAGTAAAATATTTTATATCAACTGTATAAAGTTAACAGCAGTTAAGAAAAATTTTATGTCAACCATGTAACATACTAAGAGCTATCTTTACTATCATAAACAGTCTCTTCTGCTTTGACATCTTGATGGGGTGGTATGAAATATGATATATTTCATTCAGATATACCATACTACATATATCACTGCTATTAGCTGAGCGCAGAGACGAGTGCCTTCACCCGCTCCCGTGCTGGCTTACGAGACTCTAAAAAGTGCACAAAGCCAGCGCGGGAGAGAGCGAAGGCACGTGCCTCTTCGCCCAGCCAATCGCAGCGCAAGGCAAAGACCGCACAAAGCCAGTGCGAGGCAGAGCGGAGCTTCCTGGTATCAGACGGCGCCAAGAGGTGGAAGGGAACGGAGTGGCCGAGTATTCCTGCGGTTATGTATGTATGCAGAAGTGGAGGGGCAGCGGAGGGCCATGGTGGGCTTTTGTATTTGCCGTATAAGACGCAGGCACTTTTTTCCCCCCGATTTTGGAGAGAAAAAGTGCGTCTTATACGGCGAAAAATACGGTAACTAATGTCCATAAAACTTACTTTTCCTCCGGCAATAGTATTAAAATCATTATGGGATAAATGCAACCGTTGATCTTCTCCTCTCGATTTTTCTACTAAGAGAGCTATCAGCGTGATCATTTTTTCTAACGAAGCGGGTTTATATTTGTCATCGACCGATGACACGACTTCGTCTTCATCATCATCCTCCTCGTCAGAAACTACTTCGACCTAAAGGAAAATGTTTTAAATTAATTCCAATGCATATCATAAAAACACTTTAACCAACACATTAATTAAGTCATTTGGTAATTTTTGCATGCCACAAAACCCTTAATTACCAGTAATAAATTAACAAAAACTAATTCCAGATTACAATTAGTTATAGAAAACCTGATGCAGACCTTGATGAAGGCCAAAAATGCTCGTTTTGTTAATTTATTACTGGTAATTGCAGGTTTTCTGGCATGTGATTACCTCCAGTAATTCAGAAAGGAGATAGTTTTGGTAATTTTTGGTTTAACCATAGGTAGAAATTGCCAAATTTAAAAAGAAGCCTCACAAAACCCTATCTAGTCAAACCAGATATTTTTCTGGAATCTAACACCATTCAAACTTTGACAAAAATTTGTTTCTCTGACACAAGAAAACATAGAATGGTCAGTAGCCCAGCTGAAATATGTCTGCAAAAAGGTAAAAAAATCAGCTACTTTTAATATTAAAAGCCACCTTGCTACTGAACTTCCCAAGATATTTATAAAAATAGAGCAAGAAATGATGAAACTTTAGAATCTTATAAACATATCAAGAAATAGTGTTTAGACAATAAGATAATATTTGCTAGCAAATAAGTAAATATGGGTCTCAAGTGTGAGACCATGCAGGAAAGCTTCACACAGCATACCCCATATTTCTATGGTGTCTGGCTGCTTTTCCTGTATTTCAATATAAAAGAACACCTTGTAAAACTGGAAGATCAAAATTAATACTACAACACCAAAAATCCGACAAAACATACTTTAAAAGACAAACTAACATCTCTTAAAGTATGTTTTTCTGGATTTTTAGTATTGATATAGTAATTTTAAGTATTTTAATCAGACAATAATAATTTTGTAGTAATTTTGGGACACTCCATGGCTTTCAACAACCTATACTTTTGTGTTCTTGCATTTAGCAAATACATAGCAGAAGTGAGATATAGCCCAGTACAACATATTTGTCTAAACCCTATATTTATTTTGTTTTAATATATTGAGTAATTTGTATACATCAAAGTCTAACTATATGCATCTAATTTATTCCTGTAAAAAAAAAAATTCATAAGGCTAATTTTCATATAACTATCTTACTTTGCCATCTAATGCTTGCCAAGAAAACTTGTTTATTAAACGAATGCTTTCAACCTATTATTACACGCCATCTTCGGGTTTTTAAATTCAATAAGAAATCATTATAGAAATGGAATATTCAGATATTCAAATTTACACTTAGTTTCAACCTAGTATTATATTACCTATGGAAATCTGTTTGTTTAATAAACAATTTTTCTTGTAAAGCATTGAGTGTAAAGTAATATTGTTGTACCTCTTGGCTAATTTTGTTTTGTTAGTTAGTTATGGCAATGCAACACTTGGGCGATCTGCCTTCCAGAAGGTCTTTTTAAGGGCCAGTTACCATTAAAAAGTAAGTCACTTTTTGACATTTTAATTCAAAAGTAAGTCATCATCTCAGTTTTTAATTAAAACTAGGCTGTGGAAAAAACTTGGAAAATTCCACATGGCCAGCCCATCTGGCCAGGCACAAACCAACAACCAAACTACCAGTGTTCGGGGAACTGAACTGCTTGGCCACCAATGGGCCATCTCTATGCTAAGTACACTGTTTGTATGTTCAGATGAAATAAAGAACATATTTTTTTACTTTAGCCTAACCATTTTTATTACTTTTTACAGAAAAAATTCCAATGTTCCCAGCCTAGAAACACCATCTAAAAAAAATTTTTTTTTTTCACAATTATTATATACTTTATAACTGTATGTTTAAATAAATTTTTCATTAAACAAATATCTTTATTTCATTCCCATAATCAATATGATTCAGAACTTCCAACTTTACCTTGATATGTTCTTTAAAAACGCAATGTAGAAACTATTGGAAAAAATTTGAATAATGTATAAACTTAATGCAATTACCACAGCACAGAAATACAAATATACAATTTCCTTTTGCTAGTCTTTTCCTACTTGCTTTTTGTCTTAATCCTAATGCATAGCAAGCAGCTTAACACATTAAGTGCCACGATAGAATGGTATAAAATATCACACTGGGCTCAAAATATCCATGCAAAATATAGTAGTACAGATTTCAATGTATGACATTCAACACAGTATGATTGTATGACGATTGTATGACGTATGCTGCATTTCTGCAACACACAGACTGGGTAAATTGTTGGACATGTTGCATATTTGCAACACATTGCACTTAATGTGTTGACTACTTGTGCACAGCAGTGTAATAGTTCACAAGTCTAGGACTCTGCTCTGTTCATTTTCTATACTAATCAATTAAAAATTTCACTTTTGAATTGAAACGTCAAAACAACACAAAAAATTCACAGCAACTACATAATTTTGTCATCCTCATATCTCAGAACAACAAAGTAATGTAATGGCATCAGGCTTTATTTCAAGGATATATTGTACTTTGGCACTGTAATTTTTTGTTTTACATGAGTCAACCTTTTTATTGAGAATTCTCATCTGCGTTGATAAAGTATTAAAACCTGTTTTAATACTGTTTATTAATTGTAATACAGCTTTTATTTTTGACATTTTAATTCAAAAGTAAGTCATTATCCCAGATTTTAATTTTTATTAAAAAGAGTTTCATATTTTCGAATCAGATATTGACTTAGCAAATTTTAAGATATGAATTCTTTTATCTTCAAATAAATAAAGATTTATCCAACAAATGTTCATGTAGTAAAATATATACATACAGTAGAGAGTCGTTTATCTGAAAGCCGGTTATCTGAAACGTCATTTAATCAAAAGCATTCCAGTCGGCAAATTTAAATTTTCGCTAGTGCTGTGGTACTACAATCTTTAGCTATATCTTGGGCTACTCCAATATTTTTTTTGTTTGTGTGTGTGTTTTAGCTGGCAGCACTGGCACATTTGGGTGGTGTTTTTCTGAGGACTGTGTGTTCTGCTGAATCAAACGTTTTTGATACTAGATCAATTTCTAAAGTATAATTTTTTTTGCTTTTATATTTTTCAATATATNTTTTATAAAAATGGAATTTATAAGCTTGTTTCCCGTTGGGAACAGGTTATTGAATGTGAGGGTGGTTATTTTGATGAATAAATTGTATTATTTCCTATACATTTTTATGTTTGTTTTCTTTCAACAAAAAACGACAGAACTTTTTTGGTTACCTGATAATTAGTACATAAAATGGGCAGATATAAGTAATTTGAAGTGACAAAAAATTTTAAACTGGCAAAATGGTTGGCATTTTTAAAAATTTTTTAGGGCCATCTCTGTATAAATATATAGATTTTGCAAAGCAGCACTTAACTGCATAAAAATATTACCTACATGCTGTAAACATAACATATTTATGACTTGAATGTATGTAACATAATTTGATTTTTGTACGAAATTGAACTTCTCAATTTTTCCCCTTTTCTTTTGATAGTTCACATTCAAGGTAACCCTGTAACTTAAGAATTTCATTACCTCACAATCCTAATCCCTATATAGAATTATGACACACCAATTATAAAAAATTCTGGAATATTAAATGCCAAATGAAAGAACTTTTACCCTATAACATATTTTTTATATAATGAATGTTACTATCACTTCTATCACTATATCTATATATACAATATAAACAATTTAATTATTAACAAAAAATTCTTACCTCATGCTGTTTAGCAATGGCAGAAAATATCATATTGACTATCTGGAATGAAACAATATAAAAATTGTACTGGCTTAAAAATTATAATGGTCATCAATTAATAAGCTACGTACATGATGGGCCAAATGTTCATTCCATCGACACAAACTAAATATCAGATTGCACGTCTGCCTCAAATGAATACTATCTCTTATTTGTTGATATAGAAATGGAAAACCCTAAAAAATAAAATTTTTACAGAATGAACAAATTAAAATAATGAATGTAAATATATATATATATATATATCATCATTAATTTTAAAAATTTAATTTTTTTAAAGCACATTTACTTCGAAAATGGACATCCAACAAATGAAGAGAAAAGTGGCCAAACTTGGGACTAACTTATTGTGATTTCTATCCAATCAATATATTAATACAACCACCCAGCTAGATTAACTTAAAATGAAAAAAGAATACAGTCCAGCAAGGACTATATTTTAATTTTGTATTGATTTAAGTTTATATTTTAATTATATGAGTGGGTTCTTCTTTATACTGTTTTATGTAATTTTATTTTACTTGCCATCTCTATTTATTCCTTTATTTATTCAGTGTAAAAGTTTGCATCAATTTACTTTAGACTTCAATATTTTATTTTATCAGTTCAAATATTTCTGTGCAAGAGTGAAGGTATAAAGTTTATCCAGATTATATTTCATCCCGTGATCTAAAAATTATTAAAGCATTTTGCTTTCTGTCTAATTTATAAATTACTGTATATATTCCATTACCATCAAATTCAAAAAAGTTTTTGACAGTCTTATTTTTCTTGTCTTATTCCTCAAATGAATAATTTGTGGTAATTCCAATAACAATATATTGGGTTGTTCGGAAAGTAAGTTCGTTTTTTTTACCACTAGACGGATTAGTGGTATTTTTCCCCACCATTTTCATTCTAAACCGTATTATCATTATATATTTTGACAGCTAACATTTTATGGCTTATTTGTAAAAAATTTTGTTTGATTTCGTGCAATTGTTTATTTTTTGTGTCCCATCAAATATGGAAGATCGAAAGCAGCATCTTTGGCATATTTTGCTTTTTTATTACCAAAAATAAACAAAAATGCCGTTCAAGCAAGAAAAAATCGTGTGACATGTATGGTGGAGATGTGTTGACAGAACGACAGTGACAAAACTGGTTTACAAAATTTCGTTCTAGCAATTTCAGTATTGAAGATGCACCATGTTATGGATGGCCAATTGAAGCCAATGAAAACAAAATAAAAGTACTGATTGAAGCAAACTGCCAAATAACACGTGAAATCACTAAGAGATTAAATTTGTCAAATTGAACTGTTTATGAATACTTGAAACAAACTGGTTTCGTTTCAAAGTTCGATATATGAATTCCACAAGTTCTTAAAGAGAAATGCTCTATTTGGGATATTAAGGAAATTTTTTTTGGAGCTTTTACCAGACAATTTAACAACTGATTCGAAAGTGTACTGCATTTGAGTAAACAAATTGCATAATATCATCAAACAGAAAAAGTCAGCCAGAATTGATAAAAAAAAAAAACAGCTGTAGTGTTTTACCACAATAATGTCAAATTTCATACAAGTTTGGTAACTCGTCAGAAACTGTTATAACTTAGATGGGACGT